TATTTTTCATCATCGTCACGCTGCCTTTGACCTTTCACTCAGACAGTAGTGCTTAGTCGAAGTTATGAGGGCCAAGATCGTTCGGCCTTAAGTATGGCCGTGGTCTCCTTTCATTCTTTAAAAATTGTTTGATCTTGTTTTCTTTACATGGTTTTATTAGCAGGAAGACCTAGAAGAGGGCACCTTTTTGAGTCAATAGTATGCATAATAATTTCCAGTCGGACTGCGGACCACCTGGGAATGTACCAAGTCCATGGGCATTATCATACACACTATGGACTCCGGATATGGTGCCTTTTTTAGGTCTTTTTGCCAATATGACCAAGTTGCGAAAATTTCTAAGTAGTGCTTAGCTTCATAATTACTAATATTAGCCTACTAAGGACATTTAGCATGACTTTAATGCCAATTATTGTGTGATTTCCTCCCTACGAATGGCATTTTCTTGTTCAGTGTTGTTAGTGAAACAGTGAAAGCTTAATCGTGAAAGCTTATGCGCTTGTAATGCTATTTAATGACAGTAAAATCCAATGCTTAAAAAGCCTTATTTCAAATATAGTTATCAGCCCTCAGTTCTTGGTCATTTCTGACCTTCAAAATCACGGTTACTTTCATCTTGCATTGATTATTTTGTGACTTAGTCATGGCAATTATTAACTGCTGTACCTACATTTTATACCCTTCCTGGTAGTTGTCCAAGTTTTGGGCAATAGTAGAGTGGGTTGCGATAGTGGTTTCATTTCGTATGCTATTGACGTTTTAATATACTGCTTCATTTCACCACAGGATCTAGGTAAAAGCGCTTCGCTTACGTACTTGGAACAGGGTTCAAACATAAACGTTTAGGTATCCTACGATGTCGATTCCCTCAGAGGACGTTGTCTTATAAGCATCATTCCTAACGCGATACCGCTCATTGGGAGTATGTTTAGCACTAGGATTAATGTATCTGTCGTGGCACATTTTTAGCGTTTCCAGCTAAGCTGTTATTTTTTCTATCCTGTCTTACATTCGCTCGTTGATGTCTACATTTAATGTTTGCTCCACTGAGTTCGCTCGCAAGAGCACTCAAAAGAGCTAGCTAATAGTATCGAAACGCCTGTCTTTTTTGCTATTATTTCCTTCTGTGGGGTGTGTTATTAAAAATAATCTGACTTAATCATATTCATTCAGGTTGGCGCAACATTCATCCTAAAGACTCACCCCTTAACCGTCTTCTCCACGCCAGTCCAACGATACTTTTTTATGCTGACGCCCCACCGACAATGTTAGCCGATTTACTCCTCTGTCAGGTCGCGTTGGCTGAGACTCTCTCTGGACTGCCTATCCTTATTTCTTCATCAGGATCTATTTTCTACCCACAAGCATCAATAACCCTGGACCCAAAGGTTCACTCTGGTAGTGACGACCTTGACTACTCTTTTACTAACCCGTCTATTGACAAATTACCGAAAAATGAGTCCTCACCCTCGCTAGCGAAGCCCCAACTACAGGTGCCGCTCTCTAATACTAATGCTGTTCAGATGGCATGGGCTTTGTTGGCCCAGCACGTCTGTACACGATTGACAAACTTGCTGGTGTCGGCTGAGCAACTTCGGCAGTTATGTCGACAACGTAGTTTTATGCAGCAGCAAGAACAAGCACTCAAGGTAGACAAGCCGTCATCAATTGGTCTCGAATCAGGTGTAGCAACACATCCTACCCCTATGGAAGCTCAGCTCGTTGGCCCGCTGTCACCGATCTGTTTGGAAGCCTTTACTCGAAAGTGGCAGAATCGCTGCCTCCAAGTAAGTTTCCGAAGCATTATATCATCCTAGCTAACGCTGAAGCATTACTCAATAACGAATTAATTTCATTCCCGCTTAAAGATTCAGCAATATTTATCTATAAAAACTGGGTTTCGAAGAATCCCCTAATAGATTGATATTGCATTACTTTCATTTAATCCTGTTAAACCGTTATAGCACCACTACTTGTCCCTATTTTGTCCAGTTCCGCATCTTTTTCTCTCAACTACATGTCATATCACCTATTTGCCTGTTTACGCCAGTGTCGCCTAAGAGTGCTTGTTTCAAATGCCGTTTGCAGGGCCTCTAGGTCAAGGCTTCTGATCCTCATTTTCCGCTATTTACACCCCGCGTGCAATTTGTCCCTGGTAAACATGAAATTCGAAGGACATCATCACAGCAGGAACTCATTCGTGTAAAAGATTTATGTTAAGATTTCTTGACCTTAACGAGAGACTTTTAAAAGAGTTAATTCCAGCTTCGACGATGTCTATAATATAATGG